GGGTCCTGGTGTTAGGGTGAGGCTTTAATGATTATATAGTGAAAAAGCATAAATTCTTTGAACATCTTTCCTTTGCTCCTGGTTAATATTCCAATGATCCAATTACACATTTAAGGCCAGCATTTTTTTGTTTTCAGGTTTACAAACCCGCCGCTCAAGGTTTGAATTTTCAGAAAAAAAATTTTTTCTTCCGTTGTTCAATTTGAGTCGGGATCGAGATTTCAATTTTACGAACTCGTACTTGCGGTTTTAAGATGAACATGGCCAATTTCTCACCAGAGGGCGTTTTTACGCTCCGCTCCAACACCTTTGTTATCGTCTAAATTACAAGAATCTTGTAAAACGAAAATAAATTATAGATTCCCACCAAGTTGGTAACCTTTTAAAATGAAATTAGATATATCAATCTGTAGCACTTCTTTTGTTCTTTCAAAATTTGGATATATATTAAAATAGTTTCAATATATACGGCACTATTTTGTTTGGAATTTATACACACATTTTCATTTTGAAACCAGGAGACAGAGTTAAAAAAATATCTACTACCAGAGACCTTAAAACACGTAAAAGCATTGGCAAAACATACAAAAAAAATCATTGTTTATACAATTTTTTTTTTTGACATTTACTTATTTTGCAATCCGAACTACTTTTTAGACGACAACAGAGGTGTAAGCGGAGCGCGCTCTCTGGTGAGAGATCGGAACATGGCGGGTAAAAAAAGGTAGACACCCATTCTCAATATAAGGGCTCAAATAATGTCGCCTCGTTTTCATTTAGAAGAAATACCACTGATGTAATTTTTTAATCAACATTATAAATAGTCACATAACAATGAATAAGAATTCATATAATTATCGATCTGAAAGGGTATTTAAGGAGTTCCAAATTCAAATATAGTAGCCTATTTGAAATGTACGTTACTGTCGCCGAGGCAAATATTATGCTGAATCCCCTCTGTGTAATATATAGTTTTGATTCTCAAGTAAAAATTTTCTGATAAGTTAAACCTTGTATCATATATATTTCTTTTCAAAACAATGAATACATTTTCTTTGTGATAATAAATAATTTTTATTGTGCAATGTCCCTGTCGCTTAATTCTATTTCAACCACATTACAAGCAAACACAAAGATTATACACCTGATAGTTTTGTTCTCCTTTATTTATTGATGGGCTAAATTTGAAATTTCAAAGGATTAATTACTCCTACTTAGATAATGTAACATGAAATTGAACAATTTGAGCAACTTTTATAAATATGTGCACGGAATGAAAGACATTTTCAATCGTAGAGATAAGAAAGAAATGTACGTTACCTATATTCTTCCATTAAGAATATATATTAAGTAGAAAATATGAGACGACTCTGAATAAGCAACTCCTTGTATCCTTTAAACTGGCAAATATGTTTTGCTTAACACAATTAAAAATCATTTTTTACATGAAAAGTGATCATTTGAAATGTACGTTACTGAAATGTACGTTACCATGAAATTCGAATTAAGTGAATCTCGCACGAATTTTCATGTATTCTCATACTTTCACACACTCGAATGTGTACACAAAGGAAAGTTTCAAAGGTTGGAGGTCGGCTAAATCCCAAAATTAATGAAAAGAAACGTTTCTGCTGAGGAAAAAAAATATATTAATGTCAATTATATGTAATATAATTTTGATACCTGGTATATATTTCTGAATACGAAACCTGTATGATGCATTTCTTATGATATGCAAGTTCAAATGTATCAATATATTGCGTGTCTAACGTACGCTTGTGGAAGAGAATTGATTTTTATATTTGAAATGTACGTTACGTATGGTAACGTACATTTTGTGCATTTCTAACTGACATGTTTTTTTATTTAGTCAATGAATTGCGTTTACACGAGCGAAACAAAATTATCGTTACAATCCATTTGACAACTGACTACATAAATCCATCTAAATGCACCCCCAATCTTCGTAAATGTGGTAGATTATTACCACATGCTAGAAAATTTATTTCTAAGTGTCTTAAATTCATCTTTAGCAACCTTTTTGCAGTTTGTTTACTTTTAATATGCGACTTTTCGTCAATATTAATTTAATTGTTGTTGATAATTTTAAACAAGGTATGCATAGGCTTAAAATTGGTAAAAAAAAAACAAAACAAAACAAAAAAGAAAAAAGAAAAAGAAACAAAACAAATAAACCCAGAACACAAGACGGCCACGTACATTTCAAATATTTACTGAAAGGCACACACTACTCAGTTTTTTTTGAATCAATGCATTTTGGGTAATATTTTTCCAGATCTGCTGAAAAGTACGTATGTTTGTGTTTTGCCAAACTATGTTGCAACATACTAAATGAAATTGTTATCAAGACTGTCGATGGATATATTTGGAATAGATTTATGTTAAGTTTCAATGGCCAAACACAAGCATTTGTTAGATCATAGCAAAATACGTCTGACTCTTATTTTTTTTTTTTGTCTGTACCCTTGCACACAGGTAGAAGTAACTAGGCTACGACCGGTGTCAATTTCAGCGAAACAGCACAAAAGAATGGTAATGAACTGAGATGGAGGGGACTCCCCAATAATATGTGAAATGAACGTTACCGAAGTGACGTGACATTTATGTAGTTGAAGACAAATAACCACGTTTGTTACATTATGATTTCTTATATTACTGCGTTAAAACGCTTCATTGAAATGATTCTTATGTCAATAATTACTTTTTTTCAATATTTTCTTATTACTAATTTACATATTATTACAAGCTTGAAATGTACGTTACCTACTCATATTCTGAGGCAATCGTGTCTTTATAGTGGTGATTGTGACATATTACACGGTGTGATTACATAGAGAATCTTTTTTGGAATAAACTGAAACAAAACCATGAATTTTTAGATGAATTTTAAGCTTTTTATTAAACAGAAATATATCTTGAAATGTACGTTACATTTACGTAGTTGTCTAAATCGGCATGGATATATGTTAAAAAAGACAGTAACTACAAAATAGAATTTTACTACATGTACATGTTAAGTTCCAGTATCTATAGAAAATAAAAAGATTCCAAACTGATCGCTCTAAACAAAACAGTGAGAAGAATTTAAAGCATATATTTAAAAAAATTTTATACATCTGGATCAAAAAGTAGCCTTTGTTTTTTGAAAGGAAAAATCAAACGCACGTTCGTATGCCTAGAAAATATGTTGCTGACAGAGTTGGTAATATGTGCTGGTGTTAAGATGAGATATTCCAATTGTGATTTTAATGACTACATTTTTTTTTACATATCTTTTTGGACATTGAAGAAAGAGTAACGTACATTTCAATCAACATTTCTGAATAAAATCACCCTCTACTTTACCGTCTTGTCATTATTCCATGTATTAAAATTTGATAAAAAAAAATCTGGAAACAAAATCTTCACATACTTTCTTTCAAAGGTAATTGATAGAAAGATTGTTATCTTGAACTTCATTTTTTAAAAAATCAGAGAGCCATTTGTGCCCTTATATTGAGAATGGGTGAGATCCGCCAAGTTCATAGCAGCACCATAGCATGGTTTAGTGTAAAATTTTATCGATAGGATTAGGAGTGGCATTCAAAACGTTTCAATCGTTCAAAGGACAAGTAAAATGCTGACGACTTAGTTGCAAATTGACATGCTGGTGAAATAGTTATGTATCCATATTCAAAAGTATCTGTGTGTAAATTATTTTGATCCCACAGGTTTAAAACTGCCCGTGGTAGCTATTGCCAGCGACATTGTTCAGGTCGCTGTTATACCTTACAGTCTAAGCATCATTCTTCAGAAAAGGGTCGCTTATGCATCAGATGTAATGAATAAAATTATGGGATAAGTTAAGTCCATTTGAGAAAGAAATAAACAAAAGCCAGAAGAAATTTTAAAAAGTCAGCTAGTAAAATGCAAGTATATACAAATATATACAGGCATGTAGTATCGTTTGTGGCAACCAGAAAAATTATTTTACACTCAATTGAAAAAATGTTCACACTATTCCCCAATACTCCCTGTCTGTTTTATAATGGGAATTATAATTTTAGGTATCAAGTACATTTTAGAACATTGTCTACACATTCACCTAACACATACATGTATTTAAAAAAAATGAAGATATATTGTTTTAAAGAATTGATTTTTTAAAATATATTTTGATCAACATCACAAAATTTATATCACTGGCCCAAACTGGCAGATGATAAAATAAAAAATTAAATGTTCTACTTTCCTATCTGTAACCATTATGTGTCCAGTGGCAAGGGGCCTGTTAGGATAGCATAAACAAGAAGCAAAAATGAATGTACAAATGTCAATAATTAGTTCATCCAAATATAAAAATTATTTTTGTTTCCTCCTACGAGACTTTTTCTAAACCTAAAAATAAAAAAAAAAAAATGCTGGCCTTATGATATAGAAACTATTAGAAAGGTGCCTCTTTCAAAATGCATAATTTCAGGGCCTCTGGGTCAGGGGTATCGGGGGGTACTTTGTCTAAAAATAAATTAATGCTTTAAAATCTGTTCTTTGATAAGCAAAGATTCCTCTTTCAAAATTGTGAATTTCACGGCTTTTGGATTAAAACACGAACCAAATTCAATAGCTGAAAAATCGTTACATAATACTCAGGTAAACTATAAGTCCCGTGGACCTTTTGTCTATTGTTGTATGGACTTCTGATCTTGAATACTGTTCGTTGTCTCCATAGGTTTAATGTTGCAGTCTTTCATTTTTTGGCATATTACTTTTGCATATACTGTCCAGTGATGCTAAATTTTTTGTCAAAATTTCGCTATTCTGAATTGTTCATAAATCCTTTTTGTTTCCTTACAGCTGTTATAAAAATTTGTATATGTTTGTATGTTTGGGTTGCTTTGTTTCAATAAGTAAATATTTTCTAAACACTTTTGATGGTGGTTAGATTTTTTCTCGGTTTTGGCGTTATAGTTCTCATATGATTGCCTTTTTTTAATTTTCAGATTCTGTAAGAATAGTAAATGGGAGCTCTCCAGCTGGAGGCCAAGTGGAGGTCTTTATTAACGATCATTGGCGAAGTGTATGTGACAAAGATTGGGACAAAAATGATGCTGATGTGACTTGTAAAAGCATTGGATATTCAGGGTAATTTCTAAGGAATTATTTTCAAATGTTTCATTGCATCTTAGAATGAAATTTTTAAAAATCATTTATTTCTATAGGTATAATATCTTGTAACTTAAATCATAAAAATCTACATATTGATTTTTCAAATTATTTTTTCCTGGACCCCTCAACATCTACATGTCACAAAAAGCCTAAAATTTGACGTCGTTAAAAATATTCTTTATTTATGTGTGTTTATTTGAAGTTTTTTGAGATGTCAATAATTGCTGGTGGGAGCTGTAAGTTTCGATCTACGCGTCCCCGAAGACTTTTAGTGAGGGACCTTTTTCGTTCTGCCTTCGAGACCTCGGTTAATACGGACCTATTATTCTCTTTTGAGAAGTTGATGGCTCACTTTAATGATTCCCTTTAACTTTTCTACGAAAGACCAAATAATGACAGCTGCATAAATCGATGAAATAAAGACCCAAATCGGACCCCACCTCATTCAATGTTTTAGGTCTGATGCTTGATTTTGATGTACATATTTTGCAATTGAAATGCGATTAAAATGCCTACTCTTCTGACTTAAAATCACATTCTGATAAATAATGATTTATTTTTGTGGAAGTTATCGAAACTTCAAATTCAACTTCAAATCAAAGTTCATCGAAGAACTGTCTGTATGTGTATCTAATAAAACTGAGATTTTAAGACCCCTGAAATAAATTAAGATCAATCGCCATCTGCAGCAAGGTTAAACAGTCCTCTTTATTATTCAATCACGTCTATCCCAAGACTAATCTGACTGAAACTTACGTTTTCGGTGGAAATATACACTGAACCAAACTTCTAAGTGTTCACCTAACATTTTTGAAGTTTTAAAGAACAAATGCAAACAATAAATATATTTTTTAATTCTCGTTTAATGATGCATATTTAAGTTCGATGCTGCGGAAAATTCATGTAAGTATCTGGTAAGAATTTTAAGCAAGATATCAAGGAAATGATGTACCCTCAAAATGAAAATTCGCACAAAAAATCTCGATTGAGTAAGACCTACTACTCGCTCTAATTACGACAAAACAATCTTTATTGTTGGATACCATGTAGCCCTGAATAAGAGATTGACCCATCTGCTGCCATACCTACATGTACTGCATACATCTTTTCAAACCATTGAAATTGTTAGGAAAAGGGGGGGGGGGGGGCTTTGACATTTCTTTTAAAATCTCAAATGTGTTCAATGGGATTCAAATCCGGGAAATTGACAGTGTATCGTCACACAAATGCCTTTTGGTCAATATTCTTGGGTGTTAAGCACGTAAGTGCGCAGCTTTGAGGATAATTCAGAATGCTTGAGCTGATATAAGACTGCCACGAGCACCGATTTCTTATCATTTTTGTACGATTGAAATGGTTTGTTTCCATGATTCTGAGATTTTTTCGGGACATTTAGCACCCTTTTAACCTGGTGTGACGCGAAATTTTCTCCTCAGAAGAAGATCAAGGTCACTTCCGGTGTGGTTAAATTTTGTCAAAAACTTTCAAATTGTTATAAATTAGTGATGAAAAATGATCACAGCCTATAGAAAAATGGGTTTAAATGGGTTTTGATACTGTTTGATAATTTTTAAAAGTAATACCAAGTACAATTAAGCACTAAAATAAAATTGAGTAAAACGTGGTTTAGAATTTGTCCAGATATCAACATTCCAACGGATCTACCTTCTATCTCAATGGTCATTGAGCCAATGTTTTGTGTTTTTTAGTGAAATCAGTTTTTAAAATTTGATAATGATCACAAAGAGATGCTTAATACATTTTTGTACATAAAACACGTGCCGCGAAGTACAGATTTATTGTTTTTAAGCTTCGCCACGGAACATTGGTTTTCATCGGTGATAATGAATTTTCTTTCTACAATTGTTGAGAAGACTCATTTTTTGTAATAATTTGAAAATATCATACCATTCTATAAAGTAGTTTTTAAATAAAGACATTTATTAAAGTGAACACTTAGAAGTTTTGTTAAGTGTATATACTGAGGATGCATATTCCCCGTCGAGGCCTCATATAGGAACTCTAGCGGAGGTTTGGATGTTACACAGCTATAAAGTGGGCGGTGCTTTTTCTTGATTTCTCTAAAAAATACTTAGTTTATCTTTAACATGTTTAATTTGTTTGTTTGCTAAAATTATCAGGCAGAGTGTATTTTTTTCTTTACAGTACTTTTTTTTGTGTTTCCTTTTTCTCTAATTTTAAATTAAAAGAAAATATGAAAGTAATATTATTTATGTATTGTTTGAGCATCTAAGTGCCTTTTTATTTATCCTGATAGGGAAAAACATAAAAATTAAACAAAATAACAAGAGATATTACTTAGAAATGAATCGCAAAAAGTGACAACTTTGAAAGTGTATTGTAAAAATACGAGACATAGAATCATAAATCGCCACATATAATCAAAAGATTAATGTTTGAACTTTTATTTAATTGTACTCTGGTGCTTGCACTTTTTGATTAAAGGTAGGCACGAGGCGTTTGAAAATTACCCGTGTTATCCTCTGAAATCAGAAGATAAACTATCCGACATTGTATTGCAGTTTCCATTTTACCACTTCAATGCGCTTTATTGTACGTCATAGATTTAAACAGAAAATGTTCGAAAATATTGAAATTAATTCTGTGTCTGAGCACCTTGAACACTAAAATATGATTAAGGTCAAGATCTAGTAAAAGAAAGGTTCCTAGCTACAGATTTATCATATTTAGGAAAGAAATTCCTTTAATGATGTTTTTTCAACTTTAGCGTGGTCATGTACGGTGCTTCAGGTCATAGTTGTAGGTAAACAAGATGCATATAAAAATCATATTTTAAACCTTCATTTCCAATGAAAAATTAAGAAAACCAGTTATGAATGTGGGGTTTTTTTCCTTATCTGTCAAAGAAAATGTATCCAGATTGCCTACAGTCTCTCATAAAACGGTAATTTGTAGTTTCTTGGCCTCTTCTTTAAAGCAATGTGAAATTTGATATTGATATTGGAACTACTTTTGTTGTGATTTCAAATTGAACTCCATGAAAATACATTATTTTGTACATAATTCGATTAGAGCCGTACGGAAGAAAGACAGTTGAAAATTATTATGACGTTTTTAGATCTAGAACCAAAAAATTAGTGTAATTAAATTTACTTAATCTTGACCTTAATGAAATTTATCAGTTCAAACTGAAAACTGTGAGCCGAGTTCAAACGCTGGTTTGAATGACTAAACGAAGTGACACCCAAACATACCATGATAAATGTATTAAGAGTAATCAGAATCTGTATTTTTCAATTGCATTTCTATAGCAAAACAAGATCCGTGCCTTCAAAAAAATCTATGATGAAGCATCAGATGTAAAACAACGACTGAAGTGGACCCGATTTTCTTCGTCTAATCGATTTCAGAACTGCCTTGTCGCCCGCGTGGTGCAGTGGTAAGAGCATATCCTCCTAGAGTCGCGGGCTAGGAGTTGATCCGTACGTTGTGGATTCCAATCCCAATTTGTGACGTAGAGACCTGCCCTTCAGATGAGAATATTTATACCGAGGTCTATGTCGCAGTAGATTCTAGCACGAAAAAAAAACCTCATTGCTTAATAACCTTGCTTGCCGAGTATAGGACAAAATTTGCAGCTTTTCATTAAGAAGGGGGTGATGTCTGCATATAAGTGAAAAATTCTTGAGATGAACATTAAATAATTTACAAACAAACAGATCTATCTTTATTCGGCCATTCCTATAGAAGCTGCGGGGGCGGGGCGGGGGGTTAGAACGAGCATTCAACTTCTTAACTGTCTAATCAGAAAAGACAAGTCTCAATGTCCCACAGAGGATTCGAAGAAGGATAATATCCTTTAGGTGATTTGAAATCACAACAATTTACAAAAATAAACAACAAAAAGCTAACGACTTCGATACGCAAGAGCATGCTCTACGTATGAACAATTTCTAAAAGCGTGGTAAAAAATTGACAAAGTAGTTAATGTGACAAAATTATCAGCAGTTTTGTTTAAAGTCATCATTTCAAAAGTTCTATGGTCAATAGACCTTGTCAGCAAATACAATTTGTCATTGAATTTAATGCTGACTGACGTTTTTCATAGTATTTGTTAGTCCTTATTTATACACTGAATTGACGACGGATGTTCCCGTTATATCCCCATCATGACAGGAAGTGGGTGTGGCCGGTCGACAAGGGATGCTCACTCCTCCATAGCACCTGATCCCACCTCTGATGTTTTGGAGGTCCATGTTTGCTCTGCTCCTATTTTTTTTAATGTTTTATAGATTTTTGATCTTGAATGCTGTTGATGAACTTCGTATGTTTCATCCTAAATTCACCACTCTAGAGCAAACGTCCGAACCACTGTGTCACTTGGGAACTATTTTCTATTCCAATGACTGATCACGGTAGCCTAGTGATAAAGCATTGGCTTCATGATCAGGAGGCCCGTATTCGATCTAACCTAAGACGTTAACATAGGTATTCACTGTTCATTCGCCAAACGCTCGGCATTAGAAGTATATGACCTTAAAAACGTAGGTACCGTGTAGGTATTGGCACGACGAAGATTTCTCACTGCTCAATGGCCCAAACGACCGAGTAAAGATCTAAGTTTAAAACCCTTCACCTACATACGGTGATGTATCTAAATGAGTGAAAATGAGTTTAAGCTTAACTCGACTCGTAAATAGGCATACGCCATTTTTAGCTCACCTGAGCCAAAGGCTCAAGTGAGCTTTTCTGATCAAAATTTGTCCGTTCTCTGTCGTTGTCATTGTCGTCGTCGTCGTTGTCGGCGTTGTCGTTGTAAACTTTTCACATTTTCATCTTATTCTCAAGTACCACTGGGACAATTTCAAACAAACTTGCTATAAAGTATCCTTTGGTAAAGGGGATTCAGGTTTGTTCAAATGAAGGGCCACAATCTTTTCCAAGGGGAGATAATTATGAATTAGAGAAAAATTAATGACATTTTTGAAAAATATTCTTCTCAAGAACCACTGGACCAGGAAAGATGAAACTCATGTGGAATCAACCTCAGATAGTGTAGATTCAAGTTTGTTCAAATCATGACGCCCCGGGGTAGGGTGGGGCCAAAATGGCCAATCAAAGTTTTACATAGGAATTTATAGGAAAAATCTTTGAAAATCTTCTTCTCAAGAAGCACTGGGCCAGGAAAGATGAAACTCATGTGGAATCATCTTCAGGTAGTGTAGATTCAAGTTTGTTCAAATCATGACCCCCCCCCCCCGGGTAGGGTGGGGCCAAAATGGCCGATCAAAGTTTTACATAGGAATATACAGGGAAAATCTTTAAAAATCTTCTTCTCAAGAACCACTGGGCCAGGAAAGATGAAACTCATGTGGAATCATCCGCAGGTAGTGTAGATTCAAATTTGTTCAAATCATGACCCCCGGGGGTAGGGTGGGGCCAAAATGGCCGATCAAAGTTTTACATAGGAATATATAGGAAAAATCTTTAAAAATCTTCTTCTCAAGAACCACTGGACCAGGAAAGATGAAACTCATGTGGAATCATCCTCAGGTAGTGTAGATTCAAGTTTGTTCAAATCATGACCCCTGGGGGTAGGATGGGGCCACAATGGCAGATCAAAGTTTTACATAGGAATATATGGGAAAAATCTTTTCATTGAGACATGAAAGATGAAACTCCTATGGAATCATCCTCATGTAGTGTAGATTCAATTTTTTTTCAAATCATGACTCAAGGGGGTAGGGTGGGGCCAAAATGGCCGATCAAAGTTTTACATAGGAATATACAGGGAAACCTTTTAAAATCTTCTTTTCAAGTACTTCAAAGCCAGGCTAAGTGATATTTACAGGGAATCATCTTCAGGTAGTGTAGATTCTAGTTTGTTCAAATCATGACCCCTGAGGGGTTTAAATTCAAGCCCCCTCCCCCCCTCTCAGTCAACTTTCAGTTTTGATCTCATATATGCTTTTTCCTAGCCAATTGTTCAGGTGAGCGATGTGGCCCCTGGGCCTCTTGTTGATATCGTTATCTACGATACATCAACACAATGATATACTCTTCAGATTCGTTACATCTAACTGCTTTATTGTCACGGGTATCATCGTGGAATGACGACCCGTGTTCGTACTGGTTATCTTGCATTACCTTTACATATTATTGCAGTTCATTGTATCTGTGTTTGTTTGTATAATTCATTGACCTGTACAACTTCAATTATAATTTTTTTTAGTATCTTACTTTCTTTCATTAGACGAAGTATTACATTATTATTGTCACTACCGAGTGCTGTATAGCATACATCCGTCTACACCGGTGTCAACTGATCACACTGAACAGTGACTAAATCCTGCCGTTTATATTGGGGTCTGCAGATAAAGCGAGAATCCGAACAGAAATGGCGGACACATTTCCTTTCCGAATCGTGTTCATCTTTAAATATTATACATTGAATCATTCTATTCCAACAAAAAAGCAGTCTCAATGCATATAAATCTTTATCAGAGGTCTACCTGCTTTATCATCTATGTTTGGAGAAGAAAGCAAACAAAAATGGATGTTGAGTGATGTTTACTGTTACGGAAGTGAAGCCTCCTTGTTTGAATGTCGACTATCAGCAGTAGGACCCAGCAACTGTGTTAATGGTGGACATGCCGGAGTATTATGCTATCAGTCAGAAAACGGTAAGTTATTATTATTATTACTTTTACGATTTTTCTCCCAAGTTTCTTAGCCTCTCAATTTAAATGACAATTTAGATACAGTTAGAATCGTTAATGGAACCTCGATAAAAGAAGGTCGAGTAGAGGTTTTGGTGAATGGTGAATGGCTCAGTATCTGTGACAATGGTTGGGACAAACGTGAAGCCGATGTGACTTGTAGAAGTATCGGATATTCCGGGTAATTACATTTTTAAACCATCGACAATGGTATTTTGATTTTTTTAAAATTCAATGGATATTTACAATATCAATATGAACAAAAGTTATTCAATTCAAGTAATGCGTGTTTTTAGTTATAAAATTTGAAGTAAAAAAATCTTTTTGCCGAGAAACATTTTAGGAAAATTCCCGGGCTATTTTCTTTTCAGAGGGCTGCCTGCTCTTTCGTCTTTGTTCGGAGAACAAAGTGGACAACCTCGGATTTTGGGGGGTGTTTACTGTTACGGACGTGAAACGTCTTTACTAGGATGTAGACTCTCAGTCGTTCAATCAAGCAGTTGTACAAACGGCGGACATGCTGGAGTCGTTTGTTATCACTCACAGAATGGTTGGTCAACATATTATTTGTTCTGCTTAACTGTTTTATAATTAATTAAAAAAAAATCTTTGCTATAAAGTTAGTTTAGTAATTTAAAAACAATTAAGATTTCACAGCTGACCTTTTGAGTGTTCTTTTAGCAACCGATCAATTTACATGTTTTTTAGACACTGTAAGAATTATAAATGGAAGCTCAGCAGATGAAGGTCGAGCCGAGCTTTTGCTGAACGGCGAATGGCGAAGTGTTTGTGATAGAGGATGGGGCAAGTCTGAAGCCGATGTCCTTTGTAAAAGTTTTGGATATTTAGGGTAAAGGAAAATGTTACAAAAATGTTATTTCCTACGATTTGATTTTTAGCCGGGCTTATTGCTCAAAGAGCAATTGCCGGCTTATGTGATCCTGTTCAAGGCAGGATGTTGACCCCATAGTCGCCATTTTAAAGTTGCGTGCAAAAATATAGTTCTTACTCTCATCTTTTGAGATAATACAAACGCTCAATAAAGCAACAAAAATAAAACGAAGTTTTATTTGTATAAAATAAACATTAGTATCAATGACTTTGAAAACTTCATAAGTCAAAGAACATAGTTCATTAGCGTAAGGATTTTTGATAATCAGTGTTACCGTAGTTTTCTACACATACGAGGTAAAGCAGGAGAGAGAACCAGACTGGCCTGTTTTTTTTTTTTTTACATTCAGCTGCGGTACCAGATTAATTCTGATTCTGACAAAATCGGACCGTGGTATTAGAATTGAAAAATTCACTGTCAATGTCTTATCATTTATATTGATAGTTTTAAAATAATTTTTTCATCAGAATACGAGGACCGTTCAAAAATTACGCGGACTGTGCTATTATTTACTCTTACAGACGTCATATAGTTATAAAATTTCACAGAAATATGTATCTTAAAGATTCCAATAAATTTTTGGCAAAATTTCTGTATTTTAAAAAATTCTACTAAAGTTATCGGTATGTTGATATCGTTGATGGAGAGGTACGGCGCACGACAAAATATTGAAGCAAAAGCATGCGGATTCAAAATTTTAACTCATTGATTTTCTAAAATTCGCGATATTTTTCAACAATTTTCTCAAATGTACCTTTAAATTGTTCTATTATTATGTATTTAGATTTCCGATGTAATATTTGAAGTACTAACAGAAATATAGTGATTTTTCTCTAATGGTATTCCCGTGAAAACGACTGTGAAAATGATGTCTCCTGAACTAACGGCGCACCACATTTTTGTTAAAATGTGTGTAATGCTCGAGTCATCGGCAACAAAGATCCAAAATATGCATAATAAAACATGTAGTAAACTAGGCTACTCGTGACATTCGCCCACAAATAGCAAATTGATATTTTAGACAGTCAGACCTCTGTAAAAAGGCTATACGGGAGGACGGGAAGAAGATTATAGACGAAAAGTTAACTTTATCCGGACTGTAAAGAACGTGATTGAGAGCCACCAATATCACACTACATAAGTAGTTTTTGGTTTTAAAACAAAGAAAAAGAATATTTTTTACTTTTTTAATACATTTTAAGCTTGACAAGAAATGGTGTTTTGATGTTGAGTAGATAAGGTAACTCAAACTATACAGGTACTCAAGGGAAAATGAAAGCTCAGTCACGTATTTGTTATAATGCTTGTGACGTCGAAGATTTTGCTGTGACTTAATGGTACGTCCTGAAAAATCACTCAAAATTAATACCAATTTACAACATTTTGATATGAAATTTTGAAGACTATATAAGTAAAGATTCTTTTATATTATTTGTGAAATTTTGCCCGATTATGTCGTCAAATATTTCTTATGTGCAACAAGTCCGCGTAATTTTTGAACGGCCCTCGTATAAACGTGATTCATGTAAGAAATCCATTCTACTCTGTAAATGAGCCCGGCTCTCTGTACTTCTGAGTACTTTGATTTTATCTTAGGTTTCATATATCTCCTCTTAAAGAATGATATGGAGATAACGAACATTATTATAAGTTCATTAAACAATACAAAATAGGTGCAGAGCAAACACGGACCTCCGAAACATCAGATATGGGATCATGTGCCATGGAGGAGTGAGCATCCCCTGCTGACCAGTAACACCCGCCGAGTGCCTTTGTCATAATCATAAAATAATAGCTAATCAATACGTATGAAAATCGTCAGTCAGCATTTGACTAAATTGTATTTGCTGACAAGGTCATTGTATCGACCATAGAATTTACGAAATGATGCTTTTCAGCCAGACTGCTGAAATACTTGTCTCATCAACTTGTTTGTCAATTTTAATTTACCTCGTTTTTAAATTGTTCATACGTAGAGCATGCTCTTGCGTATCGAATCAACTGAGATATATATACCCCGTATGCAGGCGAAGAAGGTATATTGCTGCATAAGTAAGGGAAGCTGATGATAGAAAAGTTAAAGTCATCACGTTTATCATAGAGCTTGGTTGATAGATTACCATTAACGATTTTTTTCAAGTACAATATCAAAGTATGAAACAGATATGTCAGACAGACTCTGTGTATCTTTCATCTCAAACTCACCAGGATATATCGTATCGACGTGGGAATGGAAATTACCATTGTTAATTGACAATACGTCGTCGATATATCTAAATGTCGAGTTGAAGGCCACAGCAAGTGTACGTATTCTTCATTTCACGCAGATTTTGCACAAAGATTCTTCTGCTTCATATAAATTCAAAACTTGGTCTGCTGATAACGGAGCTCAATTGGTACCCATGGGAATTCCAATAAATTGTTGGAATACCTGGTCTCCAAAAATCACATAGATACTGTCAATCAGAAACTCAAGCATCTCAATGTTGTCAACTTCAGAGTACTTGTGTGTGTAGTCAAAATGTATTTTGACAAAATACTTTTGCGAATTACCAATGACCAGGTAAGTAAATTTACGAGTTCCATTTTTATTGAAAAAGCAGTTGTCAATTAAATTCAAAAGTCTGGAATTTAATTTATCTTGGGGAGTGGTTCTGTATAAATATAGGGTAGTTCAAATTCATTTTGGCTTTGTTGAATATTAAAAATATTTAAAACTGACATATGATTTTGAAGAATTTTTTCCTTAGAAAGGGAAGTATGAGTGTAAGTAGGATTTCCACTTGTAGAATTAAATCCATGTTCTTCTAAAATACAATTTATATAATGAGCCATACAAACGAAAACAATGTTGTTACCTGCATTGTCAGCTGGGACCAGTACGTACTGATCATGTAATCTATCTCATTCTTTTTCCACTTCTGAATTATTGAACGCAGAAGGATAGATGTTTTTCATATTGCCCCTCAATCTTTTAATACGCAACTCTAACATTTAATCCATTCTGACAAGGTGTCAACGTCTTCTTTTTCATATCTGGCGTTATTTTCAACAGAAACCATAAAATTTATGAAATTCCGACGCCAGTTGAAGGAACGGATTTCCCTATATTTAGGACTTCTACACCGAAAGGCAGCATTTCATAAATTTTATTGTTGTCGCAATATTTTAGATGTGACATCATGGTTCTTATTTTGGCTGAAGTGTTGCAATCCGTTTTTTTTTTTTTTTTTTTGGTCTTTGTTTCATACCATTTTTGACAACAGAATATTCCAGCTATCTGATCAAAGCATAGGGCTGACAGTGTGAAATCTAAATCATTGGTATGATACTTATGCAATTTCCTCATGTTTCCCTGTAATCAACACATATTGTCTTCTTGTATATTTTTTTTATATTAGATAAAGTGGCTGGTTAGTTTAAAGGTGCTCGGACACACATTTTCCCTCAAAAAAGCGGTATAAGTTCATGTTTATATCTCGCTATAGCTTTTCACATGGAATTTTTTTTTAAACTCACTTTATCTGTTGATACTGTAATTTTACGGGACGCGTTTGATTGATGAATCCTTAACTTTCATTAGGCAAATTTTATCCCTAATACTTAAGAAAGGTAGAAATTTAGTTGTGTTCTAACGAAATATATTTTATCTATAATCCAGGTAATTCAGAGTAGAAATATGAGAAAGCAAACCCAACTCACCAGTATTGATATTCTGTGCTCAGTGATGTGAGTATTTTACCATGGACTTCTTGAACGTACACTCAAGTCTTGTGTCATTCTTCAGCGTCAAGCATTACTTTCAAAATCGGAATTAAAACAATGACGTTGTCATAGTAATTTCAGCGTCAGTTCGTAATTATTATCGTAAATTCACATTTGCAGACATGTAGGCGTTACAGATGATATAAATTTTGTATTCAAATTACAATATTTTGGAAAAATGTACCGTTCTATATGACTGCATGAAATTAAAAAGCTGCGCAAAGTCATGCGCACTCGAATTTGACTCGATCGGCCTCAATTTGTTAATCTCTGCACGTATCACTGAGCACTGACTGACACTATTGGTGGGTTGTTTTTGCTTTCTCATATTTCCACCTTGCCCTTTGAATATAACATATTTCATATATCATATGATACATGTACATCTACCATAGGGTCGTATTTTGACAAATGAAATATGGAGATCATGAAAAGCATATAAACTCGGAAGAATAGCAAACATTGACCTCGAAAACATCAGAGGTGGGCTCAGATGCAATGGAGAATAATTGACTAACAATTGTCAGCAATCAACTTTATAAATTCTCTTTGCTGGCAAGCTATTGTATCGATTATAAATCTTGCAAAATGATGGTTTTCAGAAAGACTTGTTTTGTCAACATGTTTGTCATTAGCTATACAGAGCATACTCTTGTGCATCGAATCAGCTAGAAGACATAAACTAATTGGTAATCTTCTTATTATTACGTCTAACTGATTTTTCCTTGGGGCTAACGGCAAGTTACCGGTGGACAGGGCATGTGAACTCCTTGTAGGCACTTCTTCCCATCTTTGGAATGTGTTCGTAAATTTGTATTTTTGCAACTATCAGTGTTAGGTAGTACTTTTTCATTATTGACTCACAGCAGAAGTTGTTTTTTATTAGAGGTCTCCCGGCATTATCATCTATGTTTGGAGAAGGAAGCAAACGCAAATGGATGTTCAGTAATTTTAACTGTTACGGAGGTGAAACCTCCTTATTCAAGTGTGGACTATCAATAGTTGAATTCAGCAGCTGTATTAATGGCGGACACGCAGGAGTTGTTTGTTACCATTCAGGAAACGGTAAGGATCACAATTTAAATCAGTGTAAAAATTTGTTTAATTAATACTGTTCGTTATTTTCGTATATTTTATTGCTTCCCTGACTTTTTCAACTTTCGCAACTGGTCAATCTCTTTCTGTATTTTTAGATTCGGTGAGAATGGTTAACGGGAGTTCTATGCATGAAGGCCGGGTCGAAATATATCTAGGAGGGCAATGGCATAGTATCTGTGACAGTGGATGGGACAAACGGGAAGCTGACGTGACTTGTAGGAGCATTGGATATTCCGGGTAATCACAGTGATGTGTTGGGGTATTTACAAGCCAAAGCTTATGACAAGATAAATGTATGACAGGTTTGCCTTGAGGTTCATGTATCTCTCTTCCTGATTTTATAAATAAGAATCAACATCAGGTTCTGATTGGGAACACTTGGTACCATGATGACCATTTTTTGCAGATAGATTTTGACTAGTTTTGTTCCATATTACTGCTGAATGTAGTAAGCTAAACTTTGGCGTGTGATTTGAACTAGTAATGATGTACAAATACGAGGGATGTTCAATAGATAATGTCTCCAGATCGATGACATACAAAATAGAAATCTTTTTTCCATTAAGCTTGACTTTATCTAATTATTGAATCTTTAATGAGTTGATAACAGTTTACTTGACTACTTTTCATCACATAGTTCCATAGTGAGAAGCTGGAAAACAAGTGCTATTGACGAGACACTGCATTTAAAATAATTAGTCAAGAACCAGCAAACTATAGTGCTTCCTTCTTCCAAAACTATAATGAAATTAAACTCTCCATTAAAGCTGCTGTAAAACTTGTTAAGAATCCCCAAAATATATTAATTGAAATATGTTAAATTTACAACAACCAATGTCTGTGTAATACACACATGAGCAGATGGATTTCAATAAACAAAAATGATATAATGAGCATCAAAAAATAGGTATCGTGTTGGCGACAAGGATATATACAATCACCAATGTATATTCGCGAAAATTCAACAATCAATGAGTATGTTTTATTGACTTTAAGACATATAGCAAATTTGATATACATCATTTTGGGGGTAGTTCACACTGTTTTAAAGAAACAGTTGATAGTAAAAAGTTTAATACTCAAAGGTCACCCAATATTTTGAATAATGGGTGAAAACGACAGCGTGTAGGAATATCTAAACATTTATTTTAAAATTAAAAAAAAGTACTTATCCATGTTTGTCTGAAATTCAAACAGATATTGAAACTTGAATCCATATTGCTTTAAACCCTCAAAACATTTACAATGAGATACACTTGACAAAACATCAAAGGCCTGAAAAGAACAAAGAATTGCAAGAACACAAAAACAGTTTTATATGTTATTTTCTTAAATATCAGTGGTCTTGTTGTTAAAATTCTTATTGGGGGATTTCAGTTTCTGGAAGAGTCTAGAAAGCAAAACTTTTTTTGCAAAAATGTGAAAGGTTTACGAGAGGAAGGAGCCAGAATGAAGAATTCACTACATTTAATCTCTTCATGACAGCGTCTAAATGCAAAGGCCACGAAGAGTAAAGGATTTCTGGGGTTAAAAGAAAGTTAATGTTTTGTCACACCAACAATGTTGGCCAGCACTTTCAACCTTTGACTTGTTTCATTTCCCAAACTTGAGAAAAACACCCTACAGAAAGAAAGAAAAACAAGTACAAGAAATCATAGGATCTGCCATATTCCAGTATACAAAGGGTCATACTCAAAAATGTGTTCTAAAAACAAGTAGGAATCGAAAAAAATGTTACGGACATGTGTTTTAATTTAAAGATAGCATTTTAATTTAATCATTAAGACTAAATCGTTTTTGTTTCTTTCCGAGCACCGATGACGTTAATTATTGAACGTCCCTCGTAGCTGATCAGCGTTTTGACTTTACGCGTATGTGAAATCCTTGTCAGATTGCTCAGTTGTGCAATCAGTTGTATTTATTTTATTTACTTTCTGAACAAAACTAGTCCGAATCCATTTAATGTGTAATTCCACTTGTACTGTCCCTTTGCGGTGTTGCAAATTTCAAATAATTGTAACAACAATCAAATTAAATCTGCTTAGTTAAATTCCCCAAACGGAGTTTGGAAACATTTCGTTTTTACTCTGTTTCTTCTTATTATTTTTAAGGTCTTTCGTCTTCAGCGAAAGACCTTCTTGTTGTTCTACAGTTTCTTTTCCCCTTTACTTCTTATATACAATTATATCGCTCCGAACGAAGTCGGTGGCGACATATAGCGATTGAACGCATGTTTTTGTTCTACGGGTGTTTCTCGGAGATGGCTGGGACAATCACTTGTTGAAGTTGTGTTGTGTGGTCATTCAGTTTCAAAATGGCTACCGTTGCCATGGAAACATGCAAAAAGCGACGAATTTTGTCAAAGAGTGTTCTCTCTGGTCCCTTGGACATTCGTCATGAAACTTTATTGATTAAATGATTAGTATCTGTAATTGTGTGTGTTGCATTTAAAAATTACAAATTGTCAATAGTTACCATGGAAACAAGGGAAAAGTGAAAATTCTTTAACTTTGATTTTTAAATCAAAGTACCGAAAGGACTGGTACGAGTTGGTAGTTGTCCAAGCTTAGCTAATGGGTATTGTTTCAGTGATGAAAAAAAGAAATTATAGCCAGTTCGGGGCGACATACGCTATTGCTTGCTATATCAGACTCTCTAGTTATTCTTTTTTTTCTTACCGATTTTGTGCACGCGATTTCTCGAAAACGCTTGATGGATTTTGATGAAACCCTCAGGACTTCTGAAACATTACTTGATTAACCTGATTCATTTTTCCCGTTCTGATGACGACACTACCGGTTCGGAAATATTGTCGATTTTATGATTTCTGAAGGGCCATGCTGTCCGCATACATTCTAACAAATGGCTCTAGATAGAAACATGAAACTTTCAGGCCTGATAGACTTAAGTCTATAGATATGCAAAAGGTATTTCATGTTTATCGGAAGAGCCGCACGATGTCGCTTGCTTTGGCCCGAAAATAGTCATATTGCCAATTCCAAATTTCTAACACCTTTTCTACGATATCTTTTTACCTGGAAATATTTTGTTAAAACATATAAAACAAAGAAGTGTATCATTTTAAAATCTTTCAAATGATATCTCAAAAAAAGGGCTGGCCTCCAAAAAAGGGATCTAGTGGGGCCTAAAGTTTTTTTCCTGATACCTTTATAAGTATTGAGAATGTGTAATACATCAAAGATGCAAAGTTGTTAAAAATGTCAAGTTAAGGTAGGTCGCAGGTTTACTGCATAAAAATTCTTGCGAGAAAACAAATCCTGAAAATTTGAAATAATGTTCCTTAGAATTTGAAGAATATTATATCTAAGTTTCATCAAATTTGTCTACGCGGTTTTAATGCTATATTGCTGTAAACGAAGTATTGTTTTTCGTACGATTTTTACGCTTTACTATTGAAATATACAGAAAAATGACGTTTTTACACCAATTTTACCAAGGGAGTTTCTTTTTAAAAAGTCAGATTACTTCTTAAATACGTAGACGAATTAGCTAAGAATTACAAAATACCAAGAAGAGATAATAATAAAACTCTTGAGCTAAAAAAAATCAGTATGTCTTCACGCTAGATTTTTTGCTATATACACTGAACCAAACTTCCAAGTGTTCACCTAACATTTTTTAAGTTTTAAAGAACAAATGCATACAATATATAATTTCTTTAATTCATGGTAAACGATGTACGAGAAGATCCTGAATACAGAACAATCGATGTTGCGTAAATTTCATGTAAGTATCTCGTCAGAATTTCAAGCAAAGCGTAAATGAAATGGTGTACCCTCAAAATGAAAATTCACACAAAAAAATCTCTATGGAGTAAGACCACCACTCGCTCTAATTATTACAAGACAATCTGTACAATCTTTACTGTAGCAAATCCCCAAATTATACAAATCATGACATCTTAGTGTCTTCACTATTCAGAAAATTATTTCAAAATTACTGACACGCCTGCGTCATATTGAAGTTTTATGAAGAGACTTACTTTACATTTGACAGCTGACTTTTACATTTTAGTGATTGGAGTTTGTCTATGTTAAAATTGTAAAAGTCAGTCATCAATTGTAAAAGTAAGTCTCTTCATAAAACTCCATTGGATAAAAAGTAGTTTATGTCACATTTCAGCCGATAGTCGGGCGACTAAATTTTTCTTGTATCCTTGGCTGAAAAACATGATTGCCCGACAGTAGTATCGGGCAATGAACGCGGAAAATTTGCATTTATCTTAAGACCACCGATAATTTTCAAAAATTAAATAATTCTAAGTCTATTCATCGTTTGCTAAACCGATTTTCACTGTTTGAAGACTTTTACAATAATTCAGTACTTAAGTATCAGTCACACTATCCAGCGATGGGGTATACGATGAGAAACCGATGCGTTTTTTGATGAAAATGGCGTGGCTGCCGGCCTGGCACCACTTGTGATCGGACGGTGACTGAGGCTTTTTTTGCGAATCGGTGGGGTCATCGGTAAAAAAATAATTCGTAGTTAAAATTCAGCGATGTCTCCGACGATGCCTCACATCGCTTCTCATCGGCAACCCATCATTAACACATCTTTCAAGATGTATGGCCAAGCATCGTCCAATATCCGTTGAATCTGAGGTCATCGGGGAGTTGAGTTGTGTTCAACAGATAACGGCCGATCATCGGTTGATGTTCTACCAAACATTGGCCCGTAGTCGACCGATGTACGAACAATGTTAAACAATGTATAAGCGATGTAATATACATCGGCCGATTATCCTGGAACAGCGTTTTATGTTTAGCAATGCATCGCTGGGCCTTTGTAAGCCCGGCTGGCAACCACGCCATTTTTATCATAAAAGCATTGGTTGCCCATCGTATACCCATCGCTGGATAATGTGACTGATACTTTTAGGACTACTAGGCCGATGTGGACCGATGTTGGGGCATCGCTCACACCACGGATTACCACCAATTAACACCGGTCTACGGCGACCGGCCGGGAAATGTGACTTAAACCCCAGTCACATATCCGAAAACGACCAACGATTCTTCGGGTGACAGTCGGCAGTTCATCGTCCGTTATCCTGTTCGATTTTTACCTCTATTTTGTCGGCCGACCAATTTTATGTCTATCGGTCCAATTTATAATTTTTCTGCGTCGGTGGCCGAATTCATTAATTGGAGTTATCCGTCGACCAAGCCTCGATCATCGTCCGACCATCGGCGGTCAGTTTATTAATGCCAAAT